AGCCAGGTACTAAACAGCAAGTGGTAGGGTAATTTTGGTCTTATGTATCCAGTGGCTGTTATTCTTATAGTTCATTATTATATGCACTGAGTTTCTGATTGTATCATTTCATCCGTACCCATATCTATGTATCATTTCATTCGTGCCCAATTTTACTATTGTTCTACCTAACAAAATTACCTGTGCTTTCACGGTCATGTAATATTATCTTTCTTGAATATGGACTATTCTACAGTTCAACTCACTGTTTTGGGTTTTGTCACTAACTATTTGAATGCCTCTATATAAAGCATTTTTTGTGTCTGAGGGGCTCAAAAATAGAAATGAACTTATGCAAGGAAATTGAATTTTTGAGGATTTCTCCCAGGTGGTAGCAACGGTGCCTAGGTAATGTGAAATGATGATCATAAAACCGAACGTGGGCGTACGATTGCAGGCAGCTTGGGGGAGTAGGGCATGGCGCAGGGGGGGGGGGTCATAATGAGGTACAGAGGTACATGGTAGGGAAATCGGGGATAATATCGACAGAAGGACAAGGCACTAGCAATCGGTGGTGCGCGGAAAGATCTCGAAGGGCATAGTTTGTTATGTGGAGCAGTACACTAATGTGAGTTCCAGCAAAGGCAAACTCAATGCCGAGTCATACAGACTTTCTCTCCCTTCTACATTTTCGTTTTAACGGAGGGGCAGAAAAACTCGTCTTTTGCATGCACGGCCATACCCCAGCGCGACATATTACGTCTGCTTTGTCCTATACCCGGAGGCATCTGGCCGTCGTGCAAGGAGCGGTTGTAACATAAGCGGAGGATTTTTCGCAGTGTGAGTGAAACTATGCCAAACCGCTTACCTCTCCAAACCCAGGAGCGTGTTGGATTGCAGGGGTCGTAACATATGGGAATATTGAGGGGGGAGGTCTATTTTGCAAAAATTGAACTAACGAACGTGCCCTGATTGCACTGGTAGAGAAGGTGGGTTTTCCAGCAGCTTAAAAACTTCCCACTTATTCTTCGATCTCCCTTGTGAACCAGGAAGCCATCAAAGATGGGTGAGGTCGTTGGGCACGGGATTTGGCGCTGTTCGTCTTGAAAGTATTTTGCGCATTCTCTAGCTCCTTTTGCTAGTTCATGTCAACTAACAGGACTCACTTCGGTGAACTATAAACTCTTACAAAGCTCCGTAAGCAACAA